GGCAGCCGAGGACTTGGCGGTATGGGCCGGGAACAATGAAGGGACTCTCCGATGACTCAGTGGTTCTGGCGCCGACCCAGCGCCTCTGCTCCTGTAAGAAATTATCGCGGTACATTGTCAACTTTAGCTCCTTGGTAAACAGCTGATGGCGATGATTCTGCCGCAATGAACTCGTCTCCTCACAAAGCGCAGATTGCGGCTCCCATCCTGGTCCTTTTACCTACATAGGTACTCAGTAGATCTGAGGTAGACGTGCTGGGGAGATTGTACTGCCCTGGCACTGGCTCAAGGCGGGCACGTGAAAACGGATGGTCACTGCTGGCTGTGGGCGGGTCCATAAACAAATGGACTGAACGTGGAACGGCTCTTGTTTGGCAAAGTGACATCTTTTAACACGCAAAGTACCAATGTATTCCTACTCGTCTCTTGTTTCATTTGATTTCATTTATTCTTGCATCACCAACGGGCATAAGCCCAATGATAGGCGAACTTGATAAAAAATCTGTACAGTCGTTGTTTATAGTCCTTTTCTTTCTGTAGCAAATCATTTCCAGACTTGAATATGTTTTCTTTGATAAATTATTAGCACGATTGAAAAAGAACGATACATCACAAAAACGACTTAGTAGCTAGGGTACTGAATAATTCAAAGAAAGAACTTACCGATGAGGCATACCTATACCATGCTTCAACCCATTATCATGTCGTAGGTAATCAGCTAATCTCATGCCAGCATTCATAAGTTTGGCGCTCTCAGTGCCGCGTTTTCACAGAACGGTCAAAGTTCGCCTCGGCCGTTCGCCCCCGCGCCAGTTGCTGTTAGCATGTCAATATTTATATTATACACTTCAATATCAAGCCAGTATTTTATTTTAATATCATAGGCAAATCTGTCACTGGGACATTGCATTTCGCGGTTATTTTGCGAATGCGGTGGGCATCTGCCGGCTACTTCCGCTTGTGGATGCTATGCCATTTTGTTTCAAGGAAGCGGACAACTTCACCCCGAGTCTCTTTGATTGTCGGGGTCATATTTGGATCAATTCACGAACGACATCCTTCCTCTAGAATGTATGTATCCGGCAGTTCCGGCCTGGTTCTCACTGATATAGGCTGAACCAGGGCTGCGGAGTCGGAGTCGGAGTCGGAGTCGGTCGGAGTCGACAGTTGTGACCGGAGTCGGAGTCTGAGTCGGAGTCGATTTTAGAAACCCCAGCCGGAGTCGGAGCCGGAGTCACCGAAAATCTGTCGACTCCGCAGCCCTGCTAGGTCTGCGGAGTCGGAGTCGGGAGTTGGAGTCGGTCGGAGTCGACAATTCTGCCCGGAGTCGGAGTCGGAGTCGGAGCTGGTTTTTGAAAGCCGGAGTCGGAGTCGGAGTCGGAGTCGCCGAAAATCCATCGACTCCGCAGCCCTGGGCCCTGAACTACAGATAATCTGAGGTAAAAAGGCCGTGAAATTAACCATTGGCGCCGATCCAAAGAAGGAGCTGGCTGACCGCTCAAGAATGGGGCCGGCAGCAGAACGGCGGGTTGGAAGCTCGCACGCACGCACTGCACTCTCTGATGTCTGTTAATGTTCCGAGCATCCGTGAAACACACCGCGCATGCACTTATCGCGGTGATGAGGCGTTGCCACTGACGACAAGGCAGCATATTTCACATTATCTATTGCGTCTGCGGCAATGATGTTTATCAAGCTAAACGGCATGTCCAGCTGTTATCTCGTGCCGCAGCTCATCCCGTCACATCAGTCTCACCACTCCGCTCCCTGATGTCCCACTTGTCCGCGTCAGTGCGCGGCCGCTCGGCCCCGTGACGGCGCCGACACCCGAGCCGGCCGCCGACGACCTCGGGTGACAATCGGACGATCTTTACCGCGCGCGACGGACGACGACGACGGACGACGGGCGGTGGACGGAGGACGACGGGCGGTGGGCGGTGCCCGGTCCCGGCTGACACCCTCCGCCCGCCGGCCGCCGTCCCCAGCCGTCCGCAGCCGTCCGGCCGGCGCCGCGCTATTCATAGCTCACCGAGCCGCAGCGCCGCACGGCACGCCGGGCCGCCGCACAGTCACGGGACCGACGGCCGAGCCTCGGAGCGGGCTCCGTCGGGCTGTCAGCGCGGCGACGCGTCGCGTCCGCGCGCGACACGCCGCCGCCGTCGACCGAGACGGACGGTTGGGCGTGGCCGACAATCGGCCCGTCGGAGCCGACAGCCGAGCTGGCGCGACACGGTGCACCTGCTGCCAGCGCGCGCCAGCCGGCGCAAAATGGAACCGGCCGACCAGCGCCGACGTAAGCAGGTGGTCAGCCAAAAACTCACTCAGCGTGCCTTTTTACTGGGTGGAAGAGTTTGTGTTCACATGGATGGTTCTAAACGGGGTGATGTTTGATGTGCAAAAATAAAGCTGCTATACATGAACAATAGGCGCTTTGGGGAAGCTAATACTATTTAAGTTTCGCATCAATAGCTTTAGTTTCAGAACATATTTGCCCTAGTTCGCATTGCACAGTCCATTCCATGGAGCGTACCTTTCAAAAACTGCGAATACTATTTGCTCCCAAAGTTTAAGAGCAGTCGAACGAACAAACCTTTCATGAGTTTAATTTAATTTAATTCAAAGGTCATGCCCTGTCGAGCCACCACACAAGACTGTATTTCCGACCTGTGACTCACACGTCCAGCCCACGGATCAGCTCTAATGACATATTCCGTCAACACATAGTGCCCTGAAATACTGGAACGGTGCATTAGACAATCAGTCATTGTCGACCAGCTGCAGCAACTGAGGCCGTTGCATTCAGCAGCGTACCGTAACCATAACCCATCGGAACTAGAGGTGGCAAAATGTGGACCCGGGGACCCGGTCTACGGAACCGGTCTGGACCCGGATGGGTCCAGACCGGGTCCCCCAAAATATTTGGCCGGGTCCAACCGGGTCCTATCATTTCCCTGTGCTTTATGGTAAATATTAATATCTTTTATGCTTTGGCAAACATAGTCATAGTTGATGCAGTTTCAAGTTCATAAGTCCCAATTCCACTTTTGAATATTAATATTCCTGCAGATTAGGCTACCTATTCTATAGCATACTGGTCAGTCTTGCTTCAATTTCTTATCTTGTCACCTACAACAGAATAAACAAGTTCTAAGTGCTAGCAATCCAGAAAACATTTCACCAAATGTTTGTACGCATCACTTCCATTCAGTTTGCTGTACCACACCTAACAATATTTTGAGCTGTAGAAATCAAATACCAATGACATATGTAGGTAAGTAGGTATGACTGAAATCCATTTATAAATGGACACAAATCCAATTGAAGTAAGGCTGACCAGTGGCATTCTCACCTGCCTTTTCAAAGGCATTGACATACCAAAGTCACTATGCCCACCGGAAATCAGAGTTCATGTTTGATATTCAAATGCATTTCATAACTCAAACAGCTTTGAAATTATTTCTATCACAGCCAGAAGACAACTCATAACACCAACATGCCCTAACCCTTGCATAAATCCATAAAGCTAAAAATGAATCCAAGGCAGAAACCGTAGTATCGATCAGATTTTTAGCCAACTGGCGCCGCATGGTGGCGCTAGCAGAGCGTATTATACATATAGCGCTCTACTAGCGCCATCATACGGCAGCAGCTGGCAAAAACTGAGTCAATACCAATGCCCTTCTCCAAAGCCAATGATTCCGTGTTGAAGTGAAAATGGCACATTTGAGCGTCATATATGCTATACCTTACGCACGCTAATCTACTGCATAAAGGTTACAATTTTGGAACACGTTCGGGAAGAAATCTGGTAAGTCTCAGAACCTTGGTATTTATTCTATATCTAGGTACTAACAACAAAATGTAGTTTGTTTTCTACGTTAATAAATTGGCACTTAAGTCATGATTGCAACCTTGCAGTACTTAAAAGTTTATTGCCATTTGCTATTACGATTTTGCAGTACTTTAACCCCAACAAAATTTTGCAGTGATTTAACGCCTGTTTTGTCCTTGCATTACTATCGTGTCGACATTTCTGGCGGACCTCACAAGTCACAAAGTTTTGATCATGTTTCCATTTTTTTATTTTGAATGTTTTCTCGTTTGGGGCCTTGAATAGTTTATCATATTTGTAAGGACTAATGAATTTAATTCTAAAAACGAATATCTTTTACCAAGAATATTAGAAAAGGTATGTACCTATCAGTATGGTTATCTTGTTCCATGTTGATGTTAGGTTCTGACTCTGGGGAAGGCACTGCTCCATGGGTCCCCAGTTCACATCATTTTTAGCAGCTGTAGTGAAAGTGGCTTAGGATAGCATGAAATTCATTGGTCTACTTACTTCTTATATTCTTAAATATGACCTGAATCTGGTTCTAAAATACAAACTGTGAAGCGAAGTGAAATGACCATGGCATGAGTTTTTTACTTTGCAACACAAGTAACTATGCCCAATTGGAAAGAAACTATTTTCTTCTTGCTATACCTACAACTGTACACAATTTTCATAATGAATTTCGGGAACGGGTCCATCTGGTTCCAACGCTGACTTAGACCGGGTCTGACCGGTTCCAGAAATGTGCCAGTCAGACCGGGTCCGGGTCCGGGTCCCAAAATTTTCCAGTTTTGCCACCTCTAATCGGAACACCAGAAACACCAGCCAAACAGAGCCGTGTGTTTGCCGCCCACGGCAGCCATCGTCGGATCGGGCCCAGCTTCCCAGCCCTGTTCAAATAAACCACCACCGGCCGAAGCTCCCAACGACCGCCCAACGTGCCGGATGACGTCATTATCGGACCTTTGTAGTTTTATGATGGAACCGTACCATATCTTTGTTATGGAAATGTTGCCTAATGCAGGCTTAGTTCGCTTGATTTCTTTGATGAATCAGTTTCCGTTTATATTTCCTTCCATAAGAAACGGTCGTGACAGATTTGAAATGCTGCCTTACATTTTTTTTTGTTATGATACATAGTGTTTTTAGCCATTTCATGTGCGCATATCATCTTGCGGTATATTTACATAACAACGGCAAGTCGTAACGGCTACTTCACATGGCGCATTACTTGCGAAATTATATTGCAAGCTCTCGACAGACTGAACAAAGCAAACGGTACAAGAAGTAGGTACGTACGTCATGGAGTACGAAATAATTATTCACCACGGAGCTCACCACACTGCATCATGCGCACAACAATAGAGCAATCAGCGCCGCTGGCAGCCACTTCCAGGCATAACGAGCGTGTGCAAGTGCCACGACTGAGCGGATGCTGGCAGCTGAAACAACTGATCTATCGGCCTGCCACAGACGCTGTCGACAAGACAGATGACCTGACCGGCCCATCACTTTTCGACGCTACACGCTCCAAAACATCCCGGTGGCGTGCTGGCTGCAGCGGCTGTTCTTCTCAGTCATAAGGCCATGGCACGTCAGTGATCTTAGCACACAAGTTTGGCACCCGACTGATCCGCGACAAATGATGCAGAGTTAACGCCGCCGCGAGTTACATCAAGCCAAGCCGCTGGCTTTTCTTGGCAGCTGCTTGTTGGATGCTCCTAATAGCATTGCGGGTTAAGTGCATGCCTCCACCTACAGAGAAGATACGTCTGCGGCAGAAGTCTCGCGCGCACGAACTGTCATGAAGTGTTGACAGATACACATGTCGTTACTCACCTTTTGACAGATGGCACCTGGCAGACTGTCAGGATCCATTGATGATCGTCACCGAATGGTTTACATTTTGGATCATTAGCATTCATTGATCCGTGAAGGACGATTTATCATCATTCTAGCCGATTACTCTCATGAATATTCGTGTGTGAATGTAACCTAGACCCTAGAAATTCACCACTAAGACCATACGAGTATACATTCAGCTGGAAGCTATCTGTATCTCGAGACAGCTCGCTCACTAAACAGCTCGCTAGTTGAAATTTAATTCATCACCTTAACCAGCTCCAACACAAACTGGCTTTACCCCCAAAGCCAGGGAATTGTAGAACATTCAACTCGGTTAATACCTCAGTTCAGAGTTTCGTATCCGTGTCGTCAGCTCTTATACCCGAACTCCAGAAGACCCGGGCACTATCGTAACTACGCTCCCATTGGAGTGCGATCCTGTGCTGATGGGGGCAGACATCACACTGGTTCCAGTACCGAACACAACGCTAGTTCCTTCACCCAGTCCTCCAGCGGGTGCTGCACTAAAGCCTGGTCGAGGCCGGACACCAAACAAGCTTTCGGTCTTTACGGTGGTGACGCCGCCTCCTCCTCCGCTGTTGCCGCCTCCCTCCGCTCCACCGCCCTCGTCTGGGGCGCTGTCCCCCCATCCTGGATCGCTCCGTCCGTCACCTGACCTGCCACTTTCGTTACCGTTCCCTCGACTGTGTCCGCCACGAGTCCCGGCTCCACTGGTGCTGGGGCTGCCTACCTCGGCCCTGGCCGTCCTACCGAACTTTCCGCCATTCAGTCCTCCCAGAATGTCGATCGGCACCGGGAAGATGATGGTGGAGTTCTTCTCGGCCGAGATGGTGTTGAGCGTCTGCAGGTAGCGCAGCTGTAGCGCCGACGGACTCGTGCACATGATGTCGGCGGCGTTCTTCAGCGATAGCGACGCCTTCATCTCACCTTCTGCGGCGATCACCTTGGCCTTGGCCTCGCGGCTGGCCTCGGCCTCGGCGGCCATGGCGCGCTGCAGCTCCTGCGGCAGGCGCACGTCCTTGACCTCGACCCGCTCCACCTTGACGCCCCAGGCGTCGGTGGCGTCGTCGAGGACGCCCTGCATCTGCCCGGCGATGCTCTCGCGCTGCGAGAGGATGTCGGCGAGCGAGTACTGTCCGAGCACGGTGCGCAGGGTGGTGGCCGCCAGCAGGCGCGTCGAGTAGCCGCTGTTCTCCACATTCGTCACAGACACGATCGGCTCGAAGATGCGGAAGTAGACGACGGCGTCGACGGAGATGGTGACCAGGTCCTTGGTGAGGATCTCCTGCGGCGCCACGTCGAACGAGACCACGCGCAGGTCGACGCAGGTGAACTTGTCCAGGCAGGGAAGCATCAAGAACAGACCGGGGCCCTGCGCGCCGCCGGGCAGCAGCCGCCCGAGCCGGAAGATGATGGCACGCTCGTACTCTTGGACGACGCGCACGCAGGCGAACATGGACAGCGGGAAGAACGCCATGACGATCAGCCAGGAAATCACCGTCAGCACCAGCTCGCACATGTTGGACACCACGGGCCGGTCCGACTGACCGAGCACCTGCGGCGGCGGACGCTGCTTGGGCGCCGAGGGGCCCGCCGGCGGCGCACTGTCGCTCGCTCCGTGCCACTTGTCGCTCGGAGGGGTGCGCCTGCCTGATGACCCGGAGAACTCGCCCTGGTGGTGCCACGACTCGGCTGGTGGCGCGCGGGGCTCACTCTGCTCCGGGTACGCCGCTGACCTACCCTTCCGCCATTCAGTCTGGACGGGGGACGGCTGACCTCCATTGTGACCTCCGCTGTGACCTCCGCGGTGACCTCCACGGCCGGGTCCGCGCCATTCCGATGACGCCATGATTGACAGCGCCGACCGAGCTGAAACTGACTTTTCTTAGACGGCACCTCACGTGACAGCGGTCACTGCTCTGTTTAGCGGGAAGACTTTATGACGGCCGGGTACGACACTAGTGTCACATGCAAGTATGCCATCATTCCATTACGAAGTCTTTTTACCCTTCGCCACCTCTGGACCGTTATGCTGCCCAGAGGCCAGTCGCCGCTTCATCCCACTGTCGTCATTCACTTAACGATTGTCACAACTTACGACCAACACTTGTGTCCCCGTGAAGCCCCATCTTTCCGTACCACTCAGCAGTCTCCGCACTCGCCCCCGTTCCCCGCCGCCGACGCACTGACCCGTCGGTCTCGACGGTCTGCTCCGTCGGTCTCGACGGTCTGCCCTGGCCCGGGGCGGCGTCCCGTCGGCTGGCTCCGGTCCCCGAGCGGCTGACCGTCGGCTGCCAGTGGCACGGCCCGGCGCGCGGTCCGCGGCATTTGTTTGCGCTCAGGTGACGTCCACTGGCCATCTGTTTGTCCCGTGTGCCTCGCTCAGATTCTGTTTGTTTGGCGAGATTTACAGCGGCCGGCGGCGCCTGTGAAAGTAATGGCAAGTGTCTGTTTGCTTAGGCGAAAGGTGGCTGGCTGCAGCGCCGCGTCGACTGATATATTTGGGCTTCTTGTCGCATTTTGGCACACAAGCGGTTCTGACTACGGAGCAGCATCAGAATGTTTCGCGGAATTATTTACCAAATGTAAAGGCTGAAACAGACTCTTTCCGCGTTCAGGAAATCGCATGCGAGAGCCTATTCAAATACATTATAATTCTTCCCGCATCAATCGCATCCGGGAGGTGCGTGCGATTGATGCGAACGTGCTTCCATGTATTTGAATAGGCTCTCGCATGCGATTTCCTGACTGCGGAAAGAGTCTGTTTCAGGCATTACTAAGCATTTATGCTTAATTTTCTTGTTTTAGCTGAATGATATTTAGGTACTCTGCTATAACTCTGCTATATAACTATTAAACACAAATACTATAGTTCGTTTTTTTTCAAAAGGACGCTGGCTCCAAGTATGTTTTTCGAACAGGCACGTGTTTTAGCGAGCAAAACGAGCAAAAACTGAACCTGAGAAAATCGAACATCGACTAATTTTAACATGTGATTTCTTCCCGATAATTTCCATATGTACGTTTTGGAACTAGCTATGAGAACAGTGGTGACGTCATGCTGTCGAGCATGTATTGCAATGTAACTTATGACTATCATGGACGGAACCGCTAACGCGATTATAAGCTCGGCAACAGTGAAAAACTAAGTTTCACCCAAATTCGTTGACATTTGTCCCATTGCACGGACATTTGGGTGCCTGCTGCCACCAGTGACGTCATCATAGTATGTTCATTTTTTAAGAAACAATTTCCAGCTACTTACCGTGCACAATTTGAAATCGATTATTTTTTCGGTAAGAAATTCTTGGCCAGACACTGAAGCTGCCAAAACTCACGTGAGAGCTTCGATATTGCACTTTGAGCCAGCGTCCTTTTGAAAAAAACGAACTATAATTACTTTGTAACTTTTGTTTGTTTAACCCGCGCCCCGCTGGGCTATTCAGCCATACGCGCCCTGCTGGGGGGGGGGGGGGGGCAGATTCTGTCCCCCTGTCTAACTTCCGAACCGATGGTCGTAGAAAGACGGGGAAAACGGCAATCGAAAGCTCTCAACGAGGCGAATCTAAAGAGCTCAATTTTTTTTGCTTAAGTAGGTCAGAGGTCAGGTCAAGGACAAGGTCAGGTCAAGGGTACAAAATGCAAGTTTCTGTACAGTATCGGCCTTGCACCGTAATTGCCCAAGAATGGACTGAGATTGATTGCCCAAAACGTGTTCTTAGGCTACCAAGACAATATTCAACAAGACAATATTCGTTGCATACAATATCATTCAAAGGTCAAGGTCAAGGTCAGGTCAGGTTAGGTCACCAAAAACAAAATATAGAAGAGGGCATGTGCGACACATGTTTTATGGGTCATTGTATTCAAAGAATTAAATAGGCACACTCAATTAGTGATATGGACCACCTCTGGATGAATTTCAGGTCGAGGTCAGGTCAAGGTCAGGTCAAGTGAGGTCAAATTTTGAAGTTGGTTGTTAAGGCCTAAAAAGGTGTCTTTCTGATGCAGTGTTTCACGGCGAGTCGAATGGTGCTATTTTTGTCTCCGTACGAGGTCTAAAACGTCCAAAAAAATCATTTTTCAAAAAATTTGTGTGTCGTGACGTCATACAATTTTGAATAACTCCCACATTTTTTAACCGATTCTTCTCAAAATTGGTATGTAGGTGCACATAGACCACTTCTCTGACATGTATTCCGGTTTTTTCGATACACTCAAAATTTTGGATTTTATAATTATTTTCCCAAAAAAGTCGGTTTTTTGGAAAAATTTGGGCCAAAATCCAAAATTTTCAAAAAACCGAGATAGCCATTTGATAGACAAAGTAGAATCACGTATGACCTTTTTTGTACGTCTTGATTCCTTTAAAAATGAAGATGTTAGCGGCGTTTGAAATTTTGCGATTTTTGAGGCGAAAATGGCGAACATGACATCACTAAAACGTCATTTTCTCAAAAAAAAATTCCGACGGATTTCGCTCAAATTTTCAGGGAAGTGTCAAATTGATGTATGATAAGGTACTGAAAGTTTGACGTCGCTGGCGTAACGCGTTTAGAAGTTATTGGCGAAAAACGGGAGGGGGGGCAGATTCTGCCCCCCCCCAGCGGGGCGCGGGTTAAGTAGATGACGTTTGGTATGTTAAACATTTTTGTCAGCCTACCCTGCGTCAGGAGTCAAGGCACTCTTCATTCATTTGTTATAAGTGACAAGTGTCATATCATCAAGTCCATTCAAATGTAGCCTCGCATACAAAACTTGATATGTCCTCGGCCTTAAGACAACCTTGCATGCTATGCCCTGAGATACGAATTAACACAGTATCTTGCTTACAATGCAGGAACATACGTAAGAAGGCAGGTGAACTGAAATTCCTCCATTCTTACAAAACCGCCGGCGCCCACTTTGGCCGAACATGACCTGCTGCTGCAATAGGGCTCGTCGTAGCTCAGCAACCCTACCTGGCAGAGAACCGAAATTTACAGGACTTATATGTCCGAATGATGAATGTAAATATGTACATATACCTACCTAATAGCGTCTGGATCCTTTTTCTCGATCGACTAGACCGATCGATTAGAGTGTTTTTTTTTATAATTTACAAAAACCTTTTCTTATAAAATTGCACTGGCGATTGCCCTCTCCTGTTTCGGCGACTATGAAACTTGTTTATTAATACTGGGAATTATATGGGCCTAGCAGTCAAAGACTCCAGACTTCTGTGTTTGAGGGCTTTGTTGGTTGGTTTGCTTGGATTGATTGATCGCTTTCGATCCGATTTTGTAAGGCGATTGATGGGTGATGGGAAAAGCCACCAACCCTCAACTGATTCTCATTGTGTTCTCGTTGAATAAATGGTGTGAGGCGTGAACCATTTCGCTTTAGGCTCAGTCAATGCCAACCGAAGATCAGTTAGTAGCAAGGGAAGACAAGGGGGGGGGACGAGGACAGACATAGGTAACGGGGCTGATTACATAGACCACCGCACCTGATGCGCCACACTGACTGAGCCATGCCGACGGGACGGGAGTGGGGAGAGCCACGGTGGGGCAGGCACGGGTTACCCAGCCATGCTAACGGTTATCACACCACACGTGAACTCACTCCCGAGTAGCTACATAGTACATACGGCACGCCGGATGAGATGAGGGTAACCGTCCTGCCTAGATCGAGGAGTCAGCCGACGGTTAGAGATGTGCAGGGAAGGATTTGACTGTCCGGAGGAGGGATGGAAAAGACGGAACGGTGACTATCAATGACCCTGTCGGGCGTCGGCAGCCTCTTTCCTCTTCCGACCATTGCGGACCTATGTCTTCTGCCAGACCAGAGTTAATTCCGAAATGGTCCGCCCATCCCATGGATCAGTGGTGGATCAAGAGGGGGGCATGGGACCAGGCCCCCCCCCCCATTGGGCCTCCCGGGGGCACCATCACGGAGTTTTTTTTTTTTTAATTCATCACGGAGGTCACCGACGGGAGCTTCAACCCAGAGGTCTCCTAAGGGGGCACCATCCAGAAGGACTATCAGATTAGGTTACCATTTTCGGGGTCTCCCGGAGGCCTATTTATGTCCCTCGCCTCGGGTGGGGCTATTTCCATCCCGAGGTCCGCGGGGGCACCATCTTGAGTTCTCCGGGGGCACTATCCCGAGTTCTCCGCGGGCACCATCCCGAGGTCTCCGGTGGCACCATCGCGAGTCTGGGGGCACCATCCCGAGGTCTGAGGGCAGAGGGGACACCATCCCTAAGTCTGTCTCCGGGGGCACCATTCTGAGGTCTCCGGGGCATCATTCCAAATTTCCAGGGGCACCATGCCGAAATCTGAGGTCTGAAGGAGCACTCTCCCCGGGTCTGAGGGGGCACCATCCCGAGGTCTCAGGGGCACCATCCCCCTGAACAAGTGGCCGAAATGATCCGTGGATTTTTTTTTGGAGGGGGCACCATAATACCGTATGGCCCCCCTTGACGAAATCCTGGATCCGCCACTGCCATGGACGATGATGATGATGATGCACAATGCGCGCCGATCAATCTTATGTGAAGTAAGAAATAAATCAGACCAGATAGGTATATGGGATAGGTATGTGGGCCGGTGCTGGGTTCAAACACAGGGTCCTGTGACCTGTCGGAACCCTGTAAGCCTTGAACTCCACTCCACTTCACCCTAAACCTGCGCGACATCTGGCAGTCGGTCTCTAAACTCCAGCTTCCCATACCCACCGCTGCACCCGTCGCTGCTGACACCTGGCGGCCGCTGGTGGAACCCTGAGCCGGCTCGGCGCGGCGGCCCGCCCAGCCTGGCTCCAGCCGTGTCCAGTTGGAGTACCGGGGTGAGTGGTGTGTAGTGCGGGTCCACGCGGTGCCGCGGAGCAGGGAGTCGGCTGTGTGTGTGAGCGGTGGGCGGCGGCCCGGAGGGTGTCGCAGGAGGGTCGGACGGTCACCGATGGGACGTGGCACCATGGCTGATGGAGCGGAGGCACTGGAGGCCCGTGGGCCGGGCAGTGCCCAGGAGGCTACCACCCTGTCTACCATCGCTGTGCAGAGCGGCACCACGCGCATTGTCATCGCCCTGCTGCAGGTGAGCGGACGAGTGCAGGTGGTATAGCGGGACGACCAGCGGCGGGACAGCCGGTGTCGATCGGACAGAGGGTAAACGTCGTTCCTGACGGAGAGGAAATTCGATGCGCGACTCACGAATGTGCAGGTGAATTGGATTGAGCCCGGTTAACGGATACACGTCATTCTTGTCACTCGCTACCTTTTCCGCATATCCTCAGCTGCAAGCGATGAACTTCAACTACGGTGATGCGACGTGACAGCAATAGTGACGTGGCCTGCATTGTTTACTTGAATTCACTCTCTGTTTGAGAAAAGCGTGCACCACCGATGCTGCAGAATGTTTATCGTACGGTCTTGTCCGTCAGTTGTCAGGGCAGGGTCACCGCGCGATACCAGTACCGGCCTCTGTCACCCAGAAATGGTCCCACTGCTCCGCTGCAGCCGGCTCAGAGATCGGGACCGCAAGCCGTGCGTCACGACCGAATCAGTCGTGATTCCGGGATGATCGATAGGGTAAACTGACACTAGGAATAGCTTCCGACAGTGCCTTGCTAACTTTGCTTGACTGTGCAATTACTGAACGGCAAAGGTGACTTCACCCCACCCCACCTACCGCCATTGCCACAGATGAATAGTTTTGAGCTTAAGTGTACCTACTGGATGTCACCCAGCTTTTGTTTTGTTGGGTTAGGCCCTTTCGGTCCAATGGGACCATTTCAGAGCCGGGAGGATGATAGGATATAGGGGGGTGACATTGGTCTGGGCAGGCACCCTAGTGAGTCACCGGGGCTGAGCCCGTATCACCCAGCACTCAGCAGGTCACTTAATTCCATTCTTCATCCCCTGATGACGTCAGTTTTCCTACCGTGCCTTCCGTGATGTCACCGTTCCGCCGGGGCCTGCCTGTCGGCACCGGCAGCGCCGGAGGCGCGGGGGCGGCACGGGGGCATTACAGCGCGCGGTGTGAGCTGAACCCGTTTGTCGCTCAGTGACGTCATCTGTGTGCACGGCGGCACGCTGCACTGCCTGTGAGTGCTCTGCTCATCCCCGCGGGGAATAACACCCCGACCAGCGGGTGGGGAGGGGGCGGTGCTGTGGACGGTGCGGGGTTTGAGGGTGAGCAGCCGTCTCTATGGTCCTTCTGCGACCAGCGCAGTCGTTCTGCTCCGTCCTACCCCTGCCCCTCCGGACATGCCCACTGACGGATTTACCGTCCATGACTCGGCCTCGTGTGACCTCAGGCAGGCGCACATCATATATCTGAGGCACCCCTGGCGACCCAAGCCCCAGCAGCAGCGCATGGCGCCGCGTGCGGCCCTTAGTGAGTGTCGCAACCGGGCGCCTGACCACCGCCCGCGGGGACCACAGACGCGGCTTTCTTTCTCGAGCTGATTATATCGGGATAATACAGGGCGGTCGGAGCAGGTTTAGATAATGGCGCCCTAATGCCGAGATGATATATGTGGATACGTGGCGTGTTCTACGCATACGTAAACACGTGTTCGCTTAGGTGGCTTTTTTTTTAGCCGTGGACCAACGTTCAGCTCTTGGCTGCGGGGCAGACTGTACCTAAGTCTTAACCAATTCCATGGCAACAACCACTCACCAATCCTGCATGTGTTTGCTCGGTTGTCCATCATTATACACTGCAACAAACGAGGTGGCAACTCTCTAACCACCATAACTATATGTAATCAGACACACTCATTTTGTCGTTATTGTGGGCTGTTAGAAATGTTTGCCCGCAGTTTTTCATCAACCAAACTCGACCTTTGACAGCATTCTGTGCAAACCACCACTGTTAGCCTTTGTTAGCCCGATATGGGACGTGATTCACACTCTGAACAGCCTGCGTTACATCATTGACTTATCATCATTCACCTCACTAATTGGGAATGACTCGCCATTCGTTCCAATTTTCGCTCATGGTGTCGGCCGAGGCCAAATCTCTGTTAGAGCCATCTCTCTCTCTCTCTCTCTCTCTCTCTCTCTCTCTCTCTCTCTCTCTCTCTCTCTCTCTCTCTCTCTCTCTCTCTCTCTCTCTCTCTCTCTCTCTCTCTCTCTCTCTCTCTCTCTCTCTCTCTCTCTCTCTCTCTCTCTCTCTCTCTCTCGCTCTCTCTCTCTCTCTCTCTCTCTCTCTCTCTCTCTCTCTCTCTCTCTCTCTCTCTCTCTCTCTCTCTCTCTCTCTCTCTCTCTCTCTCTCTTCATGTCTCTAACCACGTCCGGTTACAACCGCTTAGAAGTTAGAAGTGACTTTAGCGGTGACTGGCATACGAATCACCCGGGCACATTTTCACCCACATTCACAGGAACGATCGTACGATAGCTCGCCGCTCGACTCCGAATGCCGGCGTTTGTGGCCCGCCTCCGTGGGTAAGGCATTTGCGGCGCGGCTGAGTGCCACGCTGTGGCATTCGCGTCGTGGCGCCGCTGTAGACTGATTTTCGCGGCAAATGTGGCTGTTTTATCGGCGAATGGGTCGGTCACAGCGGTCACTTGACGGTCAAAAGCACGACGGTCATGGTGGCCGTCAGAGTTCCGACTAACCGGATGAGAGTGAAATATCAGCAAGCATTGTCTCGTCCAGTAAGAATTCATCGCGAACCACGCGAACTCGATTACCATTGCAAACTGGCGATCTTCCTTGAAGCGCTGAGGGCGATGAGCAAGGATGATGCGGAGGCTCTGCTGCTGTGTGCAGTGTGCATCGTGCAACATGCTTACAATACATTTTGATTGCATGAACTTAAATTGCAACAGTTCAATCGGCAGTTGAAGTTGTGAACTGTAATTAAGTTACTACTTGAGGTCTGGAACTATTGAGCGTTCAACAGCCGGTCTATGGGAGCTGGAGAAGGTGCCACTTGTCGGAAAAAAAGTTCGCCAAGCACATCGCAATTGATGACAATAAACTGAGCACTTTATTTCACTTAATAATTGATGAGAAGTCGCAGGGGACATTGACATTAAAACAACCGTGATTTTGTGGTATCGTGGGCGCAAGGTTTCCATTTAGATGGACACGACCACATGCAGACAATGTTTGCAACAATAGGTTCAATATAAAATGATCTCACCTTGAACGGGAGTCAGCGGCTGGAAAGAAATTGAGTGGGAAGCAGAGGCTGATGTCACATCGAGGGGCTTTCAGGCATTGTTGTTTGATCAAGTGGGAGGCACAGCATGGCCCAGGGACTGATGTCACATGCAGTGGGAGGCTAAGGACAGACGAAATACCACGATTATCTCCAGATCTTGAGAAGGCTCATCGCTTTGAATGTTGCCATAAAAGAGGATAGACCGGCCCTTATGGGCCTAAGCTGACAGCGTCAGTTATAACCAGTAACGACACAGAAAAGTGGGCGGCCAGCTGTTTTCCCTTTGTTAATTGTCGGTAGGTACTGTGGTTCCGTTCGTGACCGTGACAAAGTTTACGGATGTGTCGCGCTCGCAACGTGCCGTGCTTCACGTGAAGTCTGACCACAATCCGATACAAGTCGCACTGTACTCAACAGCTTACCCAACAGCTAAATGGATTTCCTGACATGCAACTGAAGTAAGGAAGTGGAGCAAAAAGGATGGTAGGTAATTCTGTTTGTTTATAAACCGTTAAATTAGCAATAGCCTTTGCGTCTGCTTTCATGAGTTTCTCATGATGCATCTACCGTCCCCTCCATCCCATTCCTTCCTGTCCATTCTCCATCAATTCGTTCATTGCACCTTGCTCATTGCACCGCATGCTTCTGCAGTGGCCCGTTTGCAGCATTGACCGTTCACCGCATGGGCGAACAGGTGTCGGCCGACCACTGCAGTCCGCCCGCGGGCACTCTCTGGTGACGTCATCTCGGTCCGCGCGGCACTGGAGGAGACCGGTCGGCCGCGGTGCTAGCGCCCCACAGTCCGCTGCAGTCTCCGTTCGATCCGCTCCATATTTGGAAGGTGACCGTGGTGGTCGGCCGGGCCCCGCTGCTCGCTAGCCGGTCGACCGGCCGGCTCGGCAGCAGAGGTGGAAAGTTGCCGCTCTCAGCTCGGAGAAGAGGAGCGGGGAGCCAAAGGTGGCGGCGGAGAACCAATGACAAATATTTGTGCCTTCTTCCGGGAGAGAGCAGCCGACAAAAGGCGAGAACCATCCCGGCGACGGCTGGCTGGCCGGGAGCTGCGGCGGTTGGATGACTGCTGAAAAAGTTGAAGGTAGATCTCCTGCGTTTTTACACCTTGTTTTTGCATTATTGAAGGACTTTCTGTGAATATTTTCGCTTAATTCAACCACTAGTCTCACATTTTGAAACACCGAATCTTACTTAGATCGTCCTTGATTATCGGTGTGCTGCAAAGGCTGTAGAATTTCAGTACGAATTACTCATGCATGCACTGAGTGGCGTATTCAGCAGGCTCGCCCGATATCAATGCGAACACATCTTGCACGGCTACCCTGCTTACGCTGCCGGTGGAATTAATGTGTGATCGGGCGCGGTCGAACATTCCTCTGCCGCTGTGTCTGGCAGAGAGGCACCGGTGGTAACGAGTTACATCCGTCAGCCGCCCTTCCAGCCGGCTGCAAAAACCACCGCCCCCGCCCCCGCCCCCGTCCGCCCGCCCGCCGTCAGTCGAGCAAACAGTCCGGACCGTGTTTACTGTTTGCTCGGGACGCCGCCCCCTGCCGCGTCCGCCGGCTCCAGGTGGTAGTAATAGCACCTCACCCGTCACTCTCCACTCTTCACACTCTTCGCTACTCTGCACACTCCCCACTCCACACTCCTCGATCTGCATACTCCGCACTCTGCGATCGGCACTCTCTATACTCCGTATTCCACACACTTCGATCGCCACTCTGCATACTCCGCGGCTCGCGTGGCAACACTTGACTGCGCTGGAGGTGTTGATTCCGCCACTACTGGACGACAGACACGCCCCTGGAGCTGTCACCGCAGTGTGTTCACCATCGCCTGTTAACTAACCTATCTTCGCTGCCGTCTGTTCGTCACATCGCGTGGGCGAGACGTTCACCGAACGCGTGTC